TACCTGTGGGCAGGCTGAGACAGGAGGGTCACTTGAAACCTCCAGTTTGAGACCAGATGGGTAACAAAACAAGACTTTGACTTAAAATTCTTTTCTCTGTGTTTTTGGTCTCAGCATTTAGATTATTTTATTTTACCCTGCTTGAGTTTTTCTAAACTTCCTGAATCTGTGGGCTGCTGTTTTCATCACATTTTTATCCACATCTTAAAATATTTCTTGTGTTACATGTTCTCTTCCTTCTCTTCTGGGAATACAAGAATACATATGTTGCACCATTTAACTAGGCCCCCATGTCTCTTGTGCTCTGGATTTGTGTGTGTGTGTGTGTGTGTGTGTGTGTGTGTGTGTGTCCTTCTCTGCTTCAGTTTTCTTTCTTTTGACATTTTTAGTTTTCCAAAACTATCTTCTGTTCTGCTTAGTATGTTTGTATGTTTTTCAGCCATACAATCAATTTTTTATTTTCAAGAATGGTATATTTTAGTTCTAGATTATTTGATGTTTTAGATTCCAACTCTGTTAAAGTTGTAGTTTTTGCATTTTGTTTCTCCTTTTCTCCATTTTCTTTACCATATGTGTAGTCATTTGAAGTCTTTTTTATTTATTATTTTTATTTTATGTATATGAGTGTATTGCCTGCATGTATGTAAGTGCACCTGTGCCATGCAATGCCCACAGTGGCTAGAAGAGGACTTCAGATCTCCTGGATTTGGAGTTAGAGACAGTCATTAGCTGCATGTGTGTGCTGGGTCCTCTGCAAGAGCAGCCGTGCTCTTAACCGCTGAGCCATCTCAGCCCCTTCAACTCTTACCTATAAACTCCAAGTCTAGCTGATCTGTGTGAGCTTTCCTTGCCTGTGTTGGTTCTTCTTCAGTGGTCACATCTTCTTGACCCTTTGTTTGCCTCATTATTTGTCATTACATACCAGGCATTTTTGTATTTCAGAATTGTTCGGACTGAAGAACACTTCATTTGCTCTCACAAATCCTGTAGGTCAGGAAGCTGATGACGTCAACAAATGACCCGAGACTGTGTCTGAGTTCAGTTTTGGTTGACCTAGTTTATCTAGGTTCATCTTTGTCTTGGTTGTGACCATCTTTGAGTTGTGACTGAGAGCTTGGCAGGTCTCTTGAGCCCTTAAATACTATGGGAGATTTTTGTCTGCCTTGGAGTTTGGGATTTAACTTTTTATTCTTATGCCTCATTCAGCTCAAAAATATAGTAAATTCCTTATTTATTTATTTATTTATTTATTTATTTAGTGTGTATGTGTGTGGTGTATGTGTGTGTGTGTGTGTGTGTGTGTGCATATGGGTACATGTGTGTATTTCTGAATTTGGGTACATGTACGTGTGTGCACGTGTGGTGGCCAGAGGTCACCATTGGGTGTTTTCTTCAATCTCTCTCTGCCTTATTTTTTTAGACAAGGCCTCTCACTGAACCTGAGAGCTCATGGGTCAGCTAGATTGCTTGGCCAATAAGCTTCAGATATCCACCTGTCTTTGTTCCCCTGGCATTGGGGTTACAATGTGTGTTGCCACACCCATCTTTTTATGTGGGTGCTGGGGATCCAAACTTAGATCCTCAAGCTTTCAGGGAAAGCACTTTAATGACTGAGACAGCTCCCCGGCCTCAGTTATTTCTTTAGAAATAACCTTTTGTATATTTATTTCAGGCTCCTCTGCCTCATGAGACTTTAACCTAGTAGGACATCACCTGAGCATTGCCAGATATATTTTATTCTGCCATCCCAGTCCTCCCCACCACACCTTCTTATACAATAGAACCTATCTTTCTTATACAACAATAGAACCTTTCTTATACAATAGAACCTATCTTTCAATACATGTCCTGTGAAGAGAACTGGAGCCATATTGTTTGAGGCATCTTCAAGTTTCCAACCCATGCAATTATCAAGTAGACCACTGGTTTCACTTCTACCAGATAGAATTTCAAATAAGCAAAGAAGCACTTTCATGGCCAGTCCTAGTTTCATGGTCAATAGCAATTCAGCTCATCTAGAATGATATTTCCTTCTTTAGAGTTTTTTGGGGGGCAGTGTTTTGTTTTTTTGTTTTTTGTTTCTGAGACAAGGTTTCACTATGTAGCTCTGGCTGTCTTGGAACCTACTATGTAAACCAGGCTGGCCTCAAAATCCTAGAGATCTGTCTGCCTCTGAGTCCTGAGTGCTGGGATTAAAGGTGCGCACCACGACACCCCCTTCTTTAAAGTTTTTTTTTTTTTTTTTTTAATGTGTATGAGTGTTGTACTTTCATGTGTCTACCTGCCCTTGTGCTTTGCAATGCCTGCAGTGGCTAGAAGAAGGCATTGGATCCCCTGGAATTGGAATTAGAGACAGTCCTTAGCTGCCATGTGGGTGCTGGGTCCTCTGCAAGAATAGCCAATGCTCTTAACTGATGAACCATCCCTCCAGCCCCCTTCTCTAGAGTTTTAATTCAATGATTTTCTTGTTGCTTCCATAGATCTCCAATGTAAATAAAAGTGTTTTACCTGCTTGTATTAGTGACTGGTCTCATGCTGTAACAGAAGTACCTGACTGAAACAACTTAAGGAGGAAGGATTTGTTTTGGCTCACAGTTTCAGAGGGCACAGTCCATCATGGAAGGGAAGGCATGATGGAGTTCATGGAAGCACAGCCTTCAAAATAGTGCTGCAAGCTGGGGACCAGGCATTCAAAACATGAGCATGTGGGGGAATTTCAAATTCAACTGTCACACCTCCCTAGTTGTTTCAGTATTTGAAGGCCTCCATGTAGAGGCCTACATTTACTTTGAAGATATGTTTTTACCAGCACTTAATTATTATTCTGCAATGTAAAACTCTATGTAACTTTCTAGCATTTAGAGTTTACTTTATTCCATATCACACAATATTAGTGAGACTTTTCCATCTTATAATAAGTAGCCTTGCAACTTAGTTTCTGATTGCATATTTAATGCTTTTTCTTGGTACAAATTCATACATGTGTAACTGTTGTGTCAACAAGTATGCATAAGGGGTGTGTGTGTGTGTGTGTGTGTGTGTGAGTTCAGATGTGTGGGTGCCATTATGTGCACGTGGAGGTCAGAAGACAATGGTTGGGATTTGGTTCTGTCCTGCCCGTTTTATGGGATCTGGAGATGGAACTCAAGCTGCTGAGCCTGCACATAAGCACCCCCTTCCACCGAGCCACTGAGGTTGTTTTTATTATAGGTTTTAATATTGACAGTTTTTTCTAAGAAATACTATATTTTGTGAAATTTCCTACTTTTTGTACTTGTATATTAATATATAGTAGAGGATTTTTTGTTGTTGCTGTCATTATTGCAATAAATCTGCATGCCATTTCATCCCAGAAATATCTAGAAAATGTTAAGACACTTTCATTTACTTTTTGATTTAGAATACAAAAATATATGTTGTGTTAATGGAAATAGAGATAAGCTCAAATATTTCTCCTGGCTGGTGTAGGCACATAGGAAATAGTTCTTGCTGACTGACTTGGGCACGTCTTGGTTTTTATAAGTCTTTATAATTTTGAGAGGGATATTCCATGCTCTATGATTCTTTATTGAACAGTATTATGTATTTTGATATGTTTTGAAGTAAGAGAAATATCACTTCTGGCTTTTCCTATGCTCTTAATTTATTGGAACTTGCTTGTTTGTGAACAAAGACAAAGACCTTTAAGACATAAGTGTGTCTAGGACTTGTAAGTTATGTCTCCCTTGATATGACCTTAGATGTCTACAGTCTGGGAACATGGTTTTTCCATTTAGAATGAAAGCAGCTATATTTCTAAAAAGATGAAAATACTTTGCAACCCATCACAGTGGTAGAGTTGGAATTTCTTTTCCTAGTGAACAAATACTTAATTAACAGAACCAAATGATAAAGATTAATAATTATTTACTCTTTGTTTCCATTGAGAGACATTTGTTCTCCTTAAAAGTAAAACCCTTAAGAAAGGTACTGGAGCTTCAATATTTGGAAATAGGTAATTTTGTTTAATGTTTAACTTATTTTAAATTATAAGAAATTTCAAATATATATAAAAACCAAGACTATAAATACATGACTTTCCCTATTATCACCCATCTGCTATTCCTGTCTTTAATTTACACAGCTATAATTTAAATAGGATTAGCTTCTATCTTGAAATTGTAATGTATTTTTCCTTATATAATTGTTAAAACTCTCCAAATGGTTATTTGTTAGGAATGTGTGTTTTCTTCATTCTGATTTTCTTTTGAATAAAGGCTTTTCATGTGTTTTTTTAGGGACTGGAGTGTTTATTTACAAGTTCTTCTCCATGTGTCCAAATGAAATAATAATGAATATCATTGCCTCGTTAATATTGCATGTGTGGAAACCTTTAAATGGATCCTAGGAAGTGTTACCTTGAAGAATGTGGTAGCTATTCAAACACTGATGTCCTTTCACATGTGAAAGTGATTTCCAAGGCTGACATTCAGTTTCATTCATATTCAGAAAAGTGTGTTTATACTCTTTGAGCCAAAATTAGCATGCAGAAGCACGTCTGATTTTCTTAATTTCTTCCAGGAATGGCTGTTTTTGTTGTTGTTTATATCATTCACAAGGAACTGATCAGTTTGGTGTGTTACCCAGATAATCCTACTCAATGCTTTGTAAAATTAAGACAATTTAAAAACCACTTGGAAAAAATAAGTTCAGAGATTTCAGTTTAAGTTTCTATTGCACAAGTTTATACATTTCTGGTAGATGGTTGAAGACCAGAATTTTTTAAAAGACTGGGGTTACTAGGTCGAGGGTGGGTTAAGTAGGGGAATCAGAGAAGCTGGGGGGATGGTCAAGGATATGCAGTTACTTAAGCATTAAATCCTAATAGCACACTAGATTCTGGGGTGAAGGCCAACGGAATATTTTTTGCTTGGGCACCGGAGTTATGCAAACAGAAGTTATTACACACCCAGGGTTTCATGATTGAGAAAGTAAACTTGTACATTTCGTTTTTTTCGTAGGTTCAAAAAGGCATTTGAGTCTGAGCCAACACTACAGTCGGGAATTAATTATGCGGTCCTCCTCCTGGCAGCTGGGCACCAGTTTGAATCTTCCTTTGAGCTTCGGAAAGTTGGTAATTGCAGCTTAATATTTTTAAAAGAAGTCAAGAAACTGGACCCAAACTTGGCGCAAAGGAAAAGACCCTTTTGCTTTCTATTATATCTTATCCAAACTCCTGGGGAAAAAGTTTATTAAATCTCCCTACTCAGTGTTTCACACTATTGAAGAGAATTCTGATTTGGAAATATAATCCACATTTTAGTTTATTTCTCATACTGTTACAGTTCAAATTCAGATTGATGGTATGAGCTCAGCCCCCAGCTCCGGGAGATGCTAGTGTTTTGTAGAACATTGGAAATGTTTCATATTTAAAGTTGTGTGTTGGGGGTGGGGCGCTTTAAAAGGAAAACAGCGAAGCATCTGCTGGGCGTGGTGCTGCACATCTGTGATCCCAGCATTTGGGAGGTGAGGTAGAAGGATCAAGAGCTCAAGGTCATCGTCAACTATTTAGTGAATTCAAAGACAGCCTGGGCTAAATGAGACCCTGTCTCAAGACAACAACAACAAAAATAAAAAGAAAGAAAAGAGAAGGAGGGAGGGAGGGAGGGAGGGAGGCGGGGAGGAATGGAGGAGGGAGGGAGGGTAAAGAAACTTCTACTTTGATTTTTGTTTCTCAAGCACAGCTGCCACTATGATTTCTTGGGGGCCAGGGGAGGGGTGTGTGTGTGAAGTGCCAAAGACCCTAGAATAACAGTAAAATATTGGACTGTCTTGATGGCAATGGTCTTCTCGGAGACTGTTTCTGAATTGTTGCCATTGATAGAGTACGCTCTGTCTTTATCTGTAGTATTGTCTTGTCTGCTAACCTTTTGGAATGTAAAGGAATGAAGGCGTTTTTGTGGATAAATTTTGAGTGGTTGTTTTGATTTGGGCTTTGGCAGCCTTTTTTTTTAAAGATTCTAGATCTGGAAATACCTTCTGTGTAATCAGATTTTGCTAGCCACCCTCTTTAGACACCCTCCCAGTTCTTAAAGGAATTGTTACCATAGACATAGATGTCTTTGGCCTTTTCAAAAGAGAAAAGGCATTGATGTTAATTAAATTATGCATTATAAAAGATAATGCATAATAAATATTAATAAATTTTCCCTAATATTTTAACTGGAAAATGTTCAAATTCCTTTGTCATTTTGAAGTGGAGTATAGATGAAGATAGTCAGAACTCTGAGGTTGGAGGACTGTAATATAACTTTGTAAAGTAAGCATACTTTCTTTTATTCAAGAAGAACTCAACACATATTGAACAAGTTTTTGAAAACCTGTGAAATTGAATTAAAATTTGGGAAATGGGGCTGGAGAGGCAACTCAGTTGGTAAAGAACTTGCCATACAATCATGAAAACTTGAGTTTGATCCCCGGAGCCCACAAAAAAAAGCTTGGTGTGGTAGCCTGCTTGTATCCCTTGTGCTAGGGAGGTGGAGACAGGTGGGATCTGTAGGGCCAGCCAGCCTAACATACTTGGTGAACTCTAGAACAGAAAGAAACCCTGTATCAAACACAAACAAAAACCCAAGGTAAATGTCACCTGGGAAACCATACATGAGGTTGACTTCTGGCCTCCACAAGCATGTGTACATGTGCCTCCATCTCACAGAGATCCGCCTGCCTCTGCCTCCAGAGTTCTGGGATTAAAGGCGAGCAGCACCATGCCTAGATTCATAACAGACTCTTAGTTATAGTTGTGGTTTGTTCAAGATTATAACTAATTGCTTCATAGGTCTTAGTTTTTAAAATAACCATGGATGTTTCAACTACTTAGAACTAGGACTTAAAAACCCAGAACCACATCTTAAATCTTCTATTTTCAGCTTCATAAGCTTTAAAATTCATATTCTGACATTAAGTAAATAAAAAATAAAAAATGGAATTTTTTAAACCATGAGATGTTTCATGGAAAGTCAGAATTATAGGTTTAAGTCCCTAGTAGTGTTGTTGTGATGAAAGAACACTGTGTTTGGATTTGAGACAAGCTACTATTTCAATCTCATTTTCTGTGAGCATTAAAAATTATGAAATGGGGAAAGGGATGTAGCTCAGTTAGTAGAGTGCTTGCCTAGCATGCACAAAGCCCTTGGTTCAGTCCCCAGCACCACATAAACAGGGCACAGTGGCCACACCTGTAATCCCAGCACTCAGGCAGAAGTGGAGGCAGGAAGATCAAGAAAGGCAAGGCCATTATTGGCTGTACATGAGATCCTGTCTCAAAAAAACAAACAAACAAACAAAAAAAAAAAATCAAGAACCAAGACAAACCTCCAAAACAAAATAAAAATTATGAAATATAAAAACTTTATTAATGAATGTAAAAACCCATACATCTAAAAAATAAGAGAAAATAATCAAAACAAAACCAAAATCCATCACCGGCCACTAAGAACTCCTTTGGAGGTGGCCACCTTTTAGAAAATTAGAGCTCAGAAGAAAAGGGTTAAATGCTTTTCTTCAGGGCTGGAGAGGTGACTCAAGAGCTAAGAGCACTTATTGCTCTTCTAGGGGACCCAGGTTCTGTTCCCAACACCCACATGATACTTAACAGTCATCCTTAAGTCCAGTTCCAGGGGATCCAGTGCCTTCTTCTGACCTCTCTGGGCATTGCACACATGTGGTGCACTTAAAGACATGCAGGAAAAACACTTATACACATAAAATGAAAATAAATATTTAAAAATTTAAATACTTTCCCTTCCTTTGAAGAAGATACTATAGTTTATCTATTGATGAAGTGTATCTCTGCTTGAAGTATGGTATAAACAATGCCATTGCTCAGGAAAACGCATTCTTTTAAAAAAATCCTAGTTAAAAAGTAGAAAGAATGATAAAGCTGATATTGATAATTGATATTACAGTAATTTACAGTGGCAAGGTCATCCATTAGAACTAAATCCATTAAGTGAAAACTGTTATTTTAAAAAATACACATCTTGGGCCTGGAGAGATGGCTCAGCAGTTAAGAGCACTATCTATTCTTGCAGAGGCTGTGTTTGGTTCCTAGAACCCACATGGCTGCCAGCAACTGTCTGAAACTCCAGTTCCAGGGGCGGGATCCAGTGCCCTCTTCTGGCCTCTATGGGCATTGCACAACACAAATGCATTCAGGCAAAACACACACACACACACATACACACACACACAATTTAAAAAGAAACACCTTACCATATGTACATGGTACCTGAGCTAACCTCTGATGAGATTACTTATCACAAAGGAACAGATGTATCTGTAGAAAGATTCTGCAAAATAACCAAGCTCACATTACTTTTTTTTTTTTTTTTTTTTTTTTTTTTTTTTAGACAGGGTCTCCCTGTATTCCCAGCTGGCCTGGAACTCTCTATGTAGACCTGGCTGGCCTTGAACTCACAAAGATCCACCTGCCTTTGCCTCCCAAATGCTGGGATCACATCACTATTTTAAGTGATTATTACTATTACCTGGGTAACCAGATATGTATCTCTAGATTTGATGAAGTCCACAGCATCAAATATTCTCACCAAATGTTCAACTGGAAGCTTAATATCCAATATACACTTCATAGGAATCATAAGATCTAATGAAATAAGTTAGGCAGTATGATGAAATGCCATCAGACAGGTCCAGAATATGGGGATGTTCTACAAGACAGTATCTTTCCTCTTCTCAAACAAATGTGTCTTAGAACAAAAAGTATGACGGTATTGGTTAGATTAAAAGATATAAAAACCAAATGTGATCCTTTATTGGATTCTGGTATAAAAGAAAAAACTAAGGTGGACATGGTGGTGCATGCCTTTAATCCCAGCACTCGGAGGCAAAAGCAGGCAGATCTCTGTGAGAACAAGACCATCCTGGTCTACATAGCAAGTTCCAGGCCAGCTTGGGCTACAGGGAGGCCCTGTCTCAAAAAAACAAAAAAATTAAGTGAAACATTTGGGTAATAATTAGAGGATTTGAGTTAGGAGTCAGGAAAAATTACTATATAATATTAGGGAATTATTATTTTCTTTAGTTGCCATAATGAAAGAAGATTTATAGGATAATTTTTATGGTAATTGTAATTTGGAATGGTTCAACGTAAATATTCAAGAAAGTGGAGTACTAACAAAATATTAACAGTTATTGAAAAAACTGGCCATTCACTGTAGTACAAATTAATGTATATGTACATTAATACATATGTGCATGTATATATATATATATATATATATACACACACACACACACATACATGTGCGCGCGCATGTGCGTGCATTGATGGGGTCAAACCCAGCACTGTGCATGCTAAGCCAATGTTCTACCACTGAGCTACTCACCCCAGCCCCTAACTATAGTATATTTTCTACTTTTATATGTTTGAAATCCTTCATAATGGAAGGCTAAGATGAAAAGAATCTAATCTCTGCCACTTAATAAGTTACTAAGTTTCTCTTTTGCTCTCATTACACAAGGAGAAATTCTCTAGCTCATTGTGTTGTGTGGATTGAAAGTCAGCATTTCCAGTGTGCTCAGTGTTAGGCAACTAATGAGTGTTCTGTCAGAGCTTTGCATCCTGCCTTTCTCCACTGAAATAGCCTTGACTCTAGTAACAATTACTGGGTCATAAAACTATGATAAAACTATACTACTGAAAAATCCTCAACACTTACAAGTCACCCAGTTCTAATGAAAACAGTGTTAAATTCAAAATACATAAACAGGTCAATGAAAGAAATGATAAAAATGATTTGAAATAGCAAGGACACACATGCATTGCTTATAAATTTAGCCAAAAATGTTTGCATAGAAAAAATTTACTACCCAACAGATGGATGCTTTTGAAAGCCCTTGTCAAGAAACTCCAATGGATTCTCATATGAACATTTGAAAATTTCCCTATTTGACTTTTTTCTAGTTCCCTGTCTAGAACTTGTAATGCTAATTACTCTTGCCTTAACTTCTCCTTCACATCTCCTATTCATGATTCAAGAACTTTCTTCTTCCCTTAGAGACAAGAGTTATGCAATTTGGGAGTCTTTTAGAAAGACCCACTGAAGGGGTACTCCAATTGCCTCACCCTGCGTCCCTGTTCAGCATGGAAGAAGCCAGAGCAGTTGGCATCCCTATTCCCTATTGGCAATTTGGATAACCCCTTCAAGAGGATGGTGTGATAAGAATAGGAGGTAGGAATTAGCTAGGCAGTTAGGGGTAAAATACCCCAAAGAAATGTAGCCAGTTTCCTGTCTAAAAGTCAAAATGTCCTTGGACCTGTTAGCAACATACTCAGTTCCAAAGGCCAAAAATGTCAAAAGTATTTGGGAGATTGTATCTAATCCTTAAAAGATTTTAGGGTTACCTTTTCAGAGGGGGGAATGTTGGAGGGGAGGGCGTGAGCATGGATTTGATCAAAACATCTTATATACATGTATGAAATTCTCAATAAAGTTTTTGTAAAAGTATAAAAAAGAAAAAATTTACTGAATTGGCAAAAGGACTTGGTAAAATTACAATTTATATTCTTGAACATAAGTTGCCATTCTTTATTAATTTTTAAGTATGGATAAACAGCCTTAAAAAATACTATAGCCTTGGCCCAGCATAGTGGTACACATTTTTAATCCAAGCACTTAGGAGGCAGAGGCAGGAGGCTCTTTGTGAGACTGAGATCAACCTAGTCTGTATGGTGAATTCCAGGCCAGCTGGGGCTACAGGAAGACACTGTTTCATAAAACAAAACAAACAAACAAAACAAAACAGCCAAAAAAATATTGTAGCCTGGAACCTACTATAATACTATTTCTTTTTTTAAAATTATTTTTATTTTACGTGTATGAGTGTTTTGCCTGTATGTAAGTGCACCTAGGTATGCAATGCCCACAGAGGCCAGAAAAAGGCATGGGATACCCTGGAACTGGAGTTATGGTAGGTTGTTAGCTGCCATGGTAGTACTGGGAACTGAACCCAGGCCCTCTGCAAGAGCAGCCAGTGCTCTTAACCACTGAGCCATCTCTCCAGCTCCCTGTAATACTATTTTTGAAGTTCTGTTCCATAGAAATAATCCTAAATAGAGAAAAGGTTTTTATGAACTAGTATCTTTAGTTCCATAGTGTGTGTGTGTTGTTTGTGTGTGTGTGTGAGAGAGAGAGAGAGACAGAGACAGAGACAGAGAGACAGAGAGACAGAGAGGATTTCTTAAATATAAACTATCAGATGAGGTGGGGATATACAAGCATAAGGAATTGAGTTCAGTTCTCAGAGCCTGTGTAACAGAAACTTGGGCATGGTGGCTGGTCTTGTAATCCCATCACTGAGGTGGTGGAGACAGGTGGGCCCACTGATCAATCAGACTAGCCTATTTGGAAAGTTTCAGGGCAATGAGAAACCTTGTCTTAAAAATAGATAGACAGACAGACAGACAGATGATTGATAGATAGATAGATAGATAGATAGATAGATAGATAGATAGATGATAGATGATAGATAGATAGATAGATAGATAGATAGATAGATGATAGATAGATAGATAGATAGATGATAGATAGATAGATAGATAGATAGATAGATAGATAGATAGATAGATAGATAGGGCATGGCCCCTGAGGAATAAGACCTGAGGTTGTTTTCTGGCCTCCACATGTACATGTACACCTGAACACACAGAAACACACATGTGCACACATCACAAAATCTGAATCAGATTTTTTTTTCAATTGAGAAAAGGTCTCACTATGTAGCCCTGGCTGGCTTGGAACTTGCTATGTCACCGGGCTGGTCTGGAACTTTCTATGTAGACCAGACTGGCCTGGATCTCCTGTCTTTGTCTCCAGAGTGCTGGAGTTAAGGTATGAACTGCTATACTTGACCTAGAATCATGTTGTTAACACCAGCCTTAAAAGCTTAATATTTTCATGTAGAAACACATTTCATGCATCTTGTTTAAAGAACATACAACTCATTCACAAAAGAAACAAACATGAAAAGATAGCTAATCTCATTGGCAAAAAAAAAAAAGTAATGTTCTAGCTGGGCATGGCAGTACATACCTGTAATCGCAGCTCATTGTGAGTTGGAGGCTTAGTTGAGACCATGTCTCAGGAAAACAAAACAAAATAAATAAGACAGGTAATTTTCCTTTTGTCCCTCCATCAAATTGGTATGCTGAATGGACATGGTAGAACTCTGTTGGCAAGGTGAGGGTATTGTCAGATGCTTCTAGCAAGAGTGTAAATTGATGCAGTACTTCCCAAGAGGCATCGGCTTTTTACTTAGAATATATCAACAAAAAATGAACATATCTCCTGTCCACAACAAATCTACACTTAGAACTTTGTGATAAGAAAATAAACAGATGCACAAAACTATGTGTACAAGAATGTAATAAAACATGGCCTCTGTATGCATTTGGGTAAATAAACTGTGATGTGACCATATGCTAAAATACTGTTTCTTATTTTTAAAACCACATTTTTCTTCAAATGTTGAAAGGCTCGGTGTCATGTTCATATAACAAAGTTATGCCAAAGTCAAAACAAAACATCACCATTATAAAAACAGCTTCTGGGTGCATGAAAAATATGAAGTTTTATTGAATAAGTTTTGTAATTTTATGATTAAACACTTCCATAGCCCTTCTTTATTTGAAAGTTTAACATCAAGACTATCTGGTAGATTGCTTTTGGACTTCTTTATGTTTCTGAAAGTATGACACAATTAAAACTTGTTCATTTATAACCAAGGTTGGTAGACACAGGTGCAACTGTTTTCAACTCGTGAAATTTTCTAGTGGCAAAGTTGCTCTTTTTAATTTATCCTCTCAAATGTTGAAGAATACACAAGTGCTCATTTTTCCCCAAAGTCCTTATGGTTTAATTGAAATTATATAATAAAAATTAAATTGAAAAAAATTTAAAGGTTATTTTGTTTAAACTATAATTTTCAGAAAGGCAAATTATTACTCTCAGAAAATATAAGATAAACAGAGGTAAGCAATTTTATTGACTGCAGTTAATGTGGAAACCATTACTATTATATGTCTGATTCAAAGACCATTTAAGAAGCAATAAATAATTTGACAAAGAAATGTGACTTTAAGATTTACCCATTTGGCCGGGCATGGTGGCTCATGCCTTTAATCCCAGCAAAGGCAGGTGGATCTCTGCAAGTTCAAAGCCAGCCTGGTCTACACAGGGAGCTCCAGGTTACCAGCTTTTTCACACCACCTAGGCATTATTTATCTCTCTTTCCTCTCTTTCTTCCTGAATAGTCCTCCCTTCTCCCTCCCCAGTTAAAGTGTCCCCCCATTTTCTCTATTTCCCCCTTGTAAACACCTGTGTTACCACCCCCCTCTTGAGCTCCTTCTTCTCCTCTACCCCCATGGTTTCTTTCCATCAGACATTGCGTTTTTACAATGATCTTAAACCATGTTGGTAATCAGAAACTCAAAACTATTTTAATCTTTAAGGACAATGAAACTTGATTTCATGTTTAAATGCTTTCTGTGGTATAATGTTCTGCTTCCTGTTCATCTCCTAGGAGTGAAGCTAAGCAGCCTTCTCGGTAAAAAAGGAAACTTGGAAAAACTCCAGAGCTATTGGGAAGTTGGATTTTTTCTGGGAGCCAGTGTTCTGGCCAATGACCATCTGAGGGTCATTCAAGCATCTGAAAAACTTTTCAAATTGAAGACTCCAGCATGGTAATAAAAACTCTTACATGCTTATGCAGTTATTTATAATAAATAGTCTCACACTGCTCCTGTGTTATTGAAATATTGTTTTATTTTTAGGATAATAATGAGTTGTGCCAGCTCAACCAGTGTCACCCACATGAACTGTGCAGACACCACACATTCTATACCTTCAGATCCAACTCATACTCAGGATCTGAGACCATGTGTCAATCTCGGCCTTTCTGGCTCCATTCCAAATACATGCACTTTACTTCCTTTATGATCTAATCTCAGTTTGGGAATTCTCATTCTTGGTTTTCATTTCCTTCTGCTTAAAGTGTGATAGACACATTGGAGTGTTTCCTATATGTGTGCTTTTTGAATTTCAGACTGTTCTTGGAAGGTATACAAGTCTCAGCATTATCTGTGTGGTACTGGAGAGATAAAAACAAAATTCTGTGTGCATTTGGGACTGTTTTTAAAATAATGGTAATTTTATTATGCAGCACATGTAGTGATTGATCATTCGCTGAAAAGATGTGATAAGATTAATGATACAGAGAAAGTCTCTTCCTACAACAGATCCCAGCTCACCTCTGACTGGTAATATCCTAGGATCTGACCACCCTGTTAAAGCCCTGGTGGCTTCCTAAAAGACTTCCTCCTGTCCAGTCTTCTTTAACCAATCCTTCCCCACAGCACTCCTTCACTGTTCTTTGTAAAATGTGAACCTGACCTTTCCTCTCCACTGAAATCCTTAAATCAATAATAGCTTACTGGTTCCTCACAACTGAGGGATAAAGTCCATCTCCTTGGCTTGGCAAACAAAGTTTACCCTCAGCTATCCCAGACTCAGCTCTTGGCCCGCCCTGAGGTTTATACTGCCCTTTCTGCATAGTGAGCATGCCATATTATGGTTTTACAAGTTTATATTTGGCACTTACCTAAGGATGCCTTTTCCAACCTCCTTGTTCAATCTGGTGGGATGCTCATAAATCATATCTACTCACAAATTAGATGCTGACTTCAACCCTACTTCATACCCAAGTCCCCTCTTTCTTGTTTCTGATATTCTGTAGCTATATTTCTGTTGATGGTGACTGTTTTTATCTCTACTTAAGTACATTTCTACTGATATTTATTGATGGTGTCACGATGCCCTTTTATATTTGTCTCCATGACACAGTGTACCACTTGAGAACAGAGGCTGTACTGACAGTTTCATGCATGCCCACAGTAGGCATTCAGTAAATGACCTAAAGTAAATGAAGCAATAAATACTTGCGTTGCATTCAGCCAAATGTGCTATTTCTTTTTGATGATTGCTGGCGACAGGAGAGAAAGTTGAAGCACAGGTACAAAGCACTTTGGCCTTGGGTATCCTGCCTTCTGTTAACAGGAAAGCAGACACCAGTTTACGCAATAGTAATAAGAGCCCCAACAGAGTGCTGTTGTACTGTTAACTTCCATGTCTAGAGTCTGCAAAGTGCTTACATAGCTACCCTCTTAGGTAATTATCTTGTTCCCCATTTTTTCTAGCTTTTTCTTTTGAGGATATTTGTACAATATGTAAGCTCAGTTACTTCAGAGAAAAATAATCTCTTATGAAGGATTTACTTCAGAGAGGTTCCTTGAAGAAGCATATTTAAAAACAAATGTATTTGCCCCATTCTTGGGGGTTCTTGTGTTTGATTGCTTTTTTTTTTTTTTTTTTTTTTTTTTTTTTTTTAAAAAAAAAAAAAAAAAAAAAGAGGACGATAAATCTTTCACTGTGATATATCAAAATAGCTAAGAAGACCAGGCTGGCCTCACTCTCACAGAGATCCACCTGCCTCTGCCTTCTAAGTGCTGGCATCCACAGTTGGAATTTCACCCATTCTTGAACTTAATATAGATATTTAAAAACAGTGTTTCCCAGCCGGGTGTGGTGGTGCAAGCTTTTTAATCCCAGCACTTGGGAGGCAGAGGCAGGCAGATCTCTGTGAGTTCAAAGCCAGCCTGGTCTCCATTAGCGAATCCAGGCCAGCTACGGCTACAGGGAAACCTTGTCTCAAAAAGACCAAAAAAAACCCCAAAAAACAAAAAAACAAAACAAAAAAAACTTGGTGTTTCCCAGCATGGTGGTGCACACCTTTCATCCCAGTACTTGAGAGACAGCTGTAGCTGAACGTCTATGAGTTTGAAGCTAACCTGATCTACATAGCAAGTTCCAGGTCAGCCAGGGCTACATGGTGAAACCCTGTCTCAAAAAAATAAATAAATAAAAATCTGGATTTAAGGCTTTGTGGATGTGCCCTAGCATTAAAAACTCCTGTATTGCTGTGGGTGTAGCTCAGTTTGGAGCACTTGCCTAGCACGCATAAGTACACATGGACCTGGGTTCAAACCCTAGCACCACAATAAGTAAAAGCTCATGTTTTAGAGAGATGTATTGCCCCAGTCCAATTTGCTTAAACACACTAAACCTGAGTTTTCCCATCTTTCAAATTAGAATAAAAACCTACTTTACTGAATTTTTGTGAAATTTAAACAATCTGTGCAAGTATCTGACATATAACAAATAATAAAACATGTTCAGTAAATCTGCATGCATAATTATTAATGCCACATACAAAGTATACTTACAGAAGAAAACATGGACAGGTGGGAGTAAGGGTCCTAAATTTCTCTGTTAAATGCTTTGTCTTTTAATTCCCAGGTACCTTAAGTCTATTGTGGAGACAATTTTGATATATAAGCATTTTGTGAAACTGACCACAGAACAGCCTGTGGCCAAGCAGGAACTTGTGGACTTTTGGATGGATTTCCTGGTTGAGGCCACAAAAACAGATGTTACTGTTGTTAGGTTTCCAGTGAGTATCTTTATTTGCATCTATGTTCATTTTTATCTTGGCTCTTGTCATTTCTGTCTTGCACTTGATTATAACACTACCAATGAACTGATTTTCCTGCCCTATGGCTACAGTCACTTGGTTGACATTCATTTTTTACAAATTAATTTGTTCTTATTTTGTATTTTTTATGTTTTTTAAATTATTATCACTTTATATTTTGAGACAGGGTTTGATTATAAAGCTCAAGCTGGCTTTGAACTCCTGCCTCAGCTTCCTGAGTACTGGGATGATAGGCATGTGCCATCATGCCTAATTTAGCCTAGTTTTAAATTCTTTTTATTTTTATGTGTATGAGTGTTTTGTTTGCATGTATGTAAGTGCATGCATCCTTGCAGGCAATGCCTGTGAAAGCCAGAAGAAGGCATCAGATCCCCCGGAACTGGAGTTATGAACAGTTGTTAGCCACCATGTGGGTGCTGGGAACCAAACCCAGATCCTCTGGAAAAGCAACCAGAGCTCTTAACTGCTGAGTATTTTCTCCATCCCCTAGCTGTGGGTCTCTGATTTCTACCTGGTCTACATAGTGAGTTTCAGGCCAGTCAAGGCTACAGTGGTGTCTCAAAAAACAAACAACCTACTCTCTAAACCAAAGAATGAGATGCATTTTTGATGTTTCAGCAAGGAAATTGAGTTATTCCTTAGAGTAAATCATCAAGTGTGCTTCTAATGGAATAAAATGATTGTACTTTGGTTAAGTTAAGACAGCTCTATGGTCCAAGATGAATGTTTTTGAATACTGAAGTTTTGTTGACACTATCTTCAGGATTATCACCATTATGGTGGTGAAATTATCAGCTCGCCTATGTTGTTATTCTATCTCTACCATTTGTAATCCAGGGGGTCAAAGTTACCCAAATTGGTCACAGATACTCATCTAGGAATCACTTTTTCCATTGCTTTGACTGCGAGTTGAGTTTGGGGTCTACAGCTTATTTTGAGTGTCTAGCAAACTTTATGTATGTCTATATACATAGACATACATGTGTATGGGTAATGTGCACATGCATCCTTTTTGTTTGTGTGAATGTGCAGGTATGTGCATGTTCATATGTACACAGGTGCACATGCCCATGATATAAACATATGGCCAGAGGTCAACCTTTATATCATTCCTCAGAAGCTATTCACCTGTTTTGAAACAAGGTCTTTCACTTGTACTTGGGGCTCACTGATTAGGCTAAATTGGCTGGCCAGTAAGCTCTAGGGATCTGTTGGTCTCTGTCTCCCCAACACTAGGATTACAAGCACACATCACCATGCCTGGCTTCTTACATGGGTGTTGGGATCAAACTCAGGTCCTCAGGCTTGTGTGGCAAGCACTTTACCAATAGAGTTATCTTCCTAGTGCCCCCTACCATCCTTTAAAAATAGATGATTTAACTTTTCAGCTGCTGCATCCCTACCTGACCACTCTCAAAATATCATACAAGACAACGTGGCAATGACATCCATTTCAGAAATTACTAGCAACTGGCTATTTGTACAAATTTCTTCCCATGTCAAAGTGACAAATTTCTTGTTTGAGCTCTCTAATCTCTGTTGTCCACTCTCTGGGGCAGTGACAATTCTCAATTCTTTTTATAAATCCTGATTTCTAGTTCTTTTTGATAGGATCCTCTGCTCATTTAATTAAATTGATTGCTAGCATGAACATACTTTGCTCTGACTACCCCCATGAAGCCTTGAGCTCAGCAGGACCCTTAATTGAAAAGCCTTTCAAACTAAAACACTCTACTTTGTTGCCTCGCCTAGATAATGTGCAGCCTGCCTTTCACTGATGTTCTAAGTAGCAATAAATATGGTAGTGAGAGAAGAGCTCACACAACTCCAGTATTTAACTGACTGCTGACTCAATGAGCCCACAGTTGACTTGATCTGCTGGGAAATGAGCCACGAAAGGAAACCATTGATAGCTGCCATTTCGAACTAATTTAAATAAGTTCAATATGATTTAGTCCATTGTAATGTAAATAGCGTTACATAAATACAAATGTTAAAGAAATAAAACCCAGAAAATACTGAGAAGTTATGAGATTATAAATTCCGAGTTGAGTCTTTTTTTCTTTTTTCTGTCTTCCTTTTTCTCTCCTTTTCCCCCTTTCCTTTTTTCCCTTCCCCTCCCTTCCCTCCTCTCCTCTGTTTTCTATACTAGAGATCAGACCCAAGGCGTTATGCCTGCTAGGTGAATGCTCTACCACTAAGGGACATTCCTAGCCCTTATTTTAGGGTTGTTTGTTTGTTTGTTTCAGACAAGATCTCACTATGTGGCCTACATTGTCCTTGAACTCACTATGTAGCCCAGGCTGATTTTGAACTTGGGAGTCTCCTACCTTGGCCTTTTGGGTATTGAGATTATAGTTATGTGATACCATGTCCAGATTAGAGACTTTCTTAAGATCTATAGTCCTTCAAGGAAAATATTCTCCAAATTGATTTCATTTAAAAATGGAGGAGGGCTGTGGATATAGCTCAGTCCGTAAAAAGTTTGCTGTGTAAGAATGAGGACCCCAGAACTCCCAGTGCTGGGGAGTCAAGGACAGGCAGGTCCCTTGGGCTCACTGGCCACGAGCATAACCTGTTTGGTGAGCTCCAGGCCAGTGAGAAACTCTGTCTCAAAAAGCAAGGTGGATGGATCTCCTGAGGAGCGACACCTGATGTGCTCTGGCTTCCACATACACATGTACACATGTGCACACTCACCCCACACATGTGCACACACATACACACACACACCCCCCCATACACATATAAACTTGTGCACACACAATGAAATGGTGGGGCTGCGGCTATAGCTCATTGGCAGAGTGCTTGCCAACACCGTGCTAGCACTGCAAAAATAGAAGAAAAATAGCCACCATAAACATGCAAAATAGAAAAATTGGTAAAAGGAGAAAATATTTAATACAATGCTGTGAAATGGTCAATTTGCCTAACATGAAAAGTTAAAGAGGGGGATCATATGGAAAGATAATTAGCCTAATTAGGTAGGCGAGAAAATGCAAATTAAAATGAGAAAATTTTTTGTCTGGTCTCAAATAAGTAAGTTTTACAGTTGGCAAAGATACAGCAGCAGGAACATTTTTAGAGTTTGCTAGTGGGCATAAGAATTGCCCATTATTCTGGGAAATCATCTAGGGAGGGGATGACAGGATTGTGGATGGGACCTTGGGGACTTCAACTGTATTTGCAAGGTTCATTTCTTTTAAAACTGCTTGAAAGAAAACACATCAGTACTCTAACATTGTATTCTGTGGGTGGAGGCACAAGGGTGCCTCTCGTATTATCTGGAAAACTTATTTATGGCTCACTGTTTGTTTTTCTAGCAATCCCTTTTCTTCTTGGAACTTTGTGGTTTATTTGGGGCTGTCTGTTTTTGAGACACTAAAATAGAGTGTTTTGTGCTTATTTCTTCTACTCCTACATGAGAATTCTTAACCTGGGCACTCAAAATTGCTTTCCCATGGCTTGTTGTTACGCTGAGAGCAAAATAGTAGTTTCGTAGCTATTCTTAATTTACCCAAGGTCTAGAAGATGCTGGGTAGACAAACTCTACCACTGACCCACACCTGCAATACTCTACCACTGAACTACAACTACAACACCTCTACCATAGATCTACACCCACTGACCCACACCCACAGCACTCTGCCACTGACCTACAGCCACTGATCTACACCCACATCACTCTACCACTGACCTACAACCACTAACCTACACCCACATCACTCTATCACTGACCTACAATCACTGACCTACACCCACATCACTCTACCACTGACCTATAACCACTAACCTATACTCACATCACTCTATCACTGACCTACAACTACTGACCTACACTCATATCACTCTACCACTGACCTACAACCACTGACCTACACCCACAGCACCCTGCCACTGACTTACAACCACCAATCTACACCCACATCACTCTGCCACTGACCCATACCCACAGCACTACCGCTAACCTATACCCACAGCATTCTATCAGTGACCTATATCACTGACCCATACCCAGAGCACTTTTATCACTGACCCACAGCCACAGTCCTATGAGTGACCTACAGCCACAGGACTCTGCCAGTGACCCACAGCCACAGCCCACTTGGCTTTTTTTTTTAATGTTTTGAGACAGAATCTCACTTAGATGCCCAGTCTGGTCTCAACTTGACATCCTGCCTCAACCTCCAGAATAGGTCGTGTCATCATGCCCAGCTAGTTGAGCTTTCTTATACTTTATTTGTGCAGTTCCAACAAATGTAATTTTACCAAGAACTTCCAAATTCCATAGACACTGAACAACACATATGCACTTATATACATGCAGGTAATACACTCATACACATAAAATAAAAATAATAAAATATTCTGAAAAATTAGAGTGTATGTTGTATTTTATTGTTATTCCCTCCTAGCATAAAAGATTAGTAATGTTACAATTCTTCATGCAACTTTTATGTAGATTCTCAACTCACCTCACATATTACATGACCTTCATACATCTCCAAAATATAAGAAAATTCTATTTCTCTTATTTCTCCAACAACGATAAACATGGCATTATTAAAGATGCCAGTTTTATTTTGAAGGCAAAGCAAAGATATTTTTATTATTTCACAAAGCTGTATCCGATTCTTCGGTTTATATATAAAACTTCCTCAACAAAACCCAAAATCATTTCTAAATCCATTTTCGTGCATACAGGACTAACACCATCACCTCCTTGTGATTAAGTGTTACAGAGGAGAATCTGAAATAAGCATGTGACATTCTATATGTGGAATCTTTTTTGGTGCACAGATGTGTTTTGTCATGTTTCTTCTTTTCTTTGACACATTTATTTTGACAGAAATATCATATGTATTGCATGATGATTAAATTTAAGCTTTGGAGAGTGGTGTGTGCATATGTATGTGTCTGGCTTTATTACCTAGGCGAGACTGGGCCTCACTATGTAATGCAGACTGGCCTTGAACTTGCAGTGATACAGTGATCCTCTGCCTCAGCCTTGTGAGTGCTGTGGTTGTAGGCAAGACTAATTGAAGCTTTTAAAAATGAATCTGGTAAGTTCTCTTGGAATAGCTGAACTATTTATTATGTGGACCCTGAAATTTTACTTTGAAGCTCATTAGCAATAAAAGGTGATGTGTTGTTGGACCTTATGATTATTGTACAGTATCATAAAATGCTCAGAGGATACTGAAGATTCATTAGAAGTTGAAATATATTGTGACAGCAATGTACCTAGAGCATCTCCCACATGGTGTTGGTGTTGCATTACTATAGCAGTTTTAAGTGCTTTCAGTTTTGAGTCACTAATATGAGTTTCTTTGCCTTATTTTTTCTAGGTGTTAATATTAGAACCAACCAAAATCTATCAGCCTTCGTACCTGTCTATCAACAATGAAGTCGAGGAAAAGACAATATCTATTTGGCATGTGCTTCCTGATGACAAGGTAAACTGTGTAATTAAGATAACTGCATTAGTAAAGAAGCCTTTACACCCTTTGAGCACTTATTTCAGTAAATGTGTTCATTAAAAAGAAGTAGCTTGACTCTTTATCTTGGCATAAATACACAGTGTAATATAAACTTTGCTAACTTTGGGTTATGGATTTCACTCAATATAATATACTTGAATTATTTGGATTTTTATTATAGACAGCATAACTGTTTCAAGTTCTCAAATTTAGGATATTTCTTTGCTTTATAAATTAATGCTATAAACTGATATGCCCCAAAGAAGCAAATCTTAAAACATGCTTTGTAAATGTTGCACCTCTTAATTCTAGGATACCTGTCAGGGTAGTGTCAGAATAATGCCACCTCCAGTCTTACACGGGAACAGTTACAGTTATCATTATATCTAGCTGCTTCTTTATCCAAGTAGCTGCTAGACCTCATTTTAGACACTTACTCAATGTGGTCTGGATAAAATAAGGTAGCATGTACTTCCACTTGGTTCTAGAAGGATCTCAAACATTTTCATTTCTGCCGATGGCAGGCCTGTGCCTAAAGCTTTGTATATCTGGTTTATTTCATTGTTATTGCTTGTTCGAGACATGGTTTCTATATGTAGGTCAGGCTGACCTGGGATTCACGATATAGCCCAGGCTGGCCTTGAAATTTCAATCCTCCTGCCTCAGCCTCCCAAGTGAGGGGTTACAGGTGTTATTTTATCAGTTCTGATACATGCAACTACTCTTACAGAAAGTATGCAGAGCCTGACCAGGCAACAGGATAAACCAAAGAAATTAGAGAAATCTTAGGATAAAATTCATTTGCAGTATTTTTAAAACTTATTTTCCAGCTGAGCATGGTGGTACACACCTTTAATCCCAGCACTCAGGAAGCAGAGGCAGGAAGATCTCTGTGAGTTCAAGGCCAGCTGGGGCTACAGAGAGACCCTGTCTCAAAAATAAATAAATAAATAAATAAATAAATAAATAAATAAATAAATAAATAAAATTTTCCAAAATACTCCTTTAATTTTCATTAAACAACAGGTGTTTACTCAGCACTTACTCTGCACCAGGCACCCTATTAGACAGCCGGGAAAGCACTGTGTATTAAATGAGTGAAGTTTCTCCCCTCACGGTCCTTACCTTCTACTCAGGGAGGCAATAAGCCAATGAATGAAACAGATATATTAAGTGGTGACAAAGGAAAAATAAAGCAGGGACTGGAACTGGATGAAAGCAGGAGGTCTCTTTGGGGTATGGGTTTGCAATATTTTTTTAAGTCAGTAGACCTGGGTTTGCTTTGATTTTATCACTACCCTTTGGCAGCTTGGTTTATCTAAGCTGCACTGTCCTCATCTGTAGAAGAGACAATAATAATAACATCCACTTCAAAAGGTTGTTGTGAGTGGATGTGGTGGCCTATTCCTGAAAACCCTGTACTTGAGAGGTAGAGATAGGAAGATCTTGAGTTAAAGGCCAGCCCCAGCTACATAGTGAATTGTAGGCCAACCTGAACTAAATGAAATCCTGTCCCTTTTTTTTTTAAGTTTGTTGTGACAATTAAATGTAATAATATAAGTAGGGTGCATTTTATAGAGCCTTCTATTATAATTAATGCCTTGTGTATTCTAACAATAGTAACAACAAACATTAAAAAATCACTGCTTTGTAAATATTAGGACTGGCCCCTATTTTTGATACCCTAGAATTTAACCCTTCTTCATTCTTTAAACAATATGATGTATCATTGAGGGAGGCTGGTAGTATTCCATCAGGGTACAAGCTAAACCACCTGTCCTATAAGCCTGCAAAAATCTATGAATTAGAATAGCTTCTGCTATACTTGGAGTGTGTCTTGGCCACATATATATTTTATAAAAATCTCTGTATAATTCTGATGTGCAGCCATGGTTGAGAACAAGTCACAGGCATGCCAAATAACTCAGTTGCAGTAACTGATGCAAAATCATTATGTCTTTGATTTTATGACTGAGCTAGGCTCCTAGGGATGATATTTTTCAAAGTGGAGTTCCCTGAAACAGCAGCATTCAAGTCACAGGAGCTGGTATAAACTGAAGACCCTGGTCTGTGGGGCACACCTAAATAGAGTTCATAGGCATGAACCATCACCTTAAGAGGTTCAACAGGACCATCCAACAGCATGTTGGTAATGTAGCAAGAAGAACAGCCTGTGCTCTGAGGCTTTCCAGGATGTCAGTCATGGTCAGGCCCTGTGACCTGTGTCAAAGCAGCAAGTCACCTGTCCTAGTGCCACAGTTTCTAGAAAAGGTAGTACCTTGTATTTAAAAATACTAGACAGATACTAAGCAGCACCTAGAATCTGTATTGACATTTTCAGTTGTTACATGTTTGAATGAAGTTGGTCATTGTAAATCTGGTAAGGTAGTGTTTTAGCAGTCATGCTAAATGCTGGTAGCATGACATCACCCTGTGAGCGTGGGGAATAATCCATTTTTGAAGAGCAGATCTTTGTAGCTGCATCTGAGTGACTAGTTTGTAGAACACAGTCCTCACTACCACTTTCACAAGACAATTAAGGACTGAACCAGAATTTTATAGTCTATCCATTAATAGGTTGTGATAACTGAGGCTCTTCACTCAACAAACCCAACTTACACATGCCAGTATTTGCTGCTAGGACCAGAGTCAGAAATTCTACTTTTTCATTACAGAGTGCCAGTTATATAGATAAGCACTTAAAAGTCACCTACAACACCCAGTGCTCATAAAGGACACTTCCTGTTATTAAGGAACTTCATGACAGACTTAGCCAAGATGTAGTTCTCCACTATCCTCACTTTGTGGCATGATAGTGGAAAGGGAGAAGCCACACCAATAACACTTCTAATGTTAGCCCTTTCCTGAAGCATCATGCTGCACTGAGGAAAGCGCTGTTGAGACCAGTGATGACACTAATGCTTCATCTTTAAGATTTGGAGATGTAGGGGCTGGAGAGTTCACTCAGTGGCTAAGAACACTGACTGTTCTTGCAGAAGACCCAGGTTCGAATCCCAGCACCCACATGGCAGCTAACAACTATCCATGACTCCAGTTCCAGGGGATCCGAAAGCCTCTTCTGTCCTCCATGGGCATTGCACGACACGGGTACACTTACCTACATTCAGGCAATACACTCATACACATAAAATAAAAATAAGAAATAAAATATTTTTTTAAAAAAAGATTTGGAGATGTAGATCTTGGGACCATGCTGGTTTGTGGGGAGGACCATATGGACTTCTGATATATGCTGTTCAGTGAGGAGCAACAACTGAGGTATAGTGTCTTTAGGGGAGGCTTCAGAAGGGAAGTGAAGCCTGGGCTTTGACTGTTTGTAGGACTAGAAGAGAAAAGGGACAAGGAGAGATACCTCAGGTTGAAAGTATAGGTCGATTCCAACAAAGACACTATAGCAAAAGTGGGCACGATGTTCAGGGGTTGTATGGAGGCTTTTTGGCTTATTAGGAGGAAGGTAGTGGTGGTGGCAGTGGAAAATATATTTGCAGATAGGATGATGCAAAATCACAACTTGCTCCCTGAATGAGGAAGGAGAATTTAGACAGGTGCTGGTAGGAAATGGCATCAGTGAAGCTTCTTAGGATCTGAGAGCTGGCAAGAAGGCAACAGAGAGAAGCAGAGGAACACAGGGTTAGCGGGAAGCTGCAGAGGCATGAAGACTTATGTTACCGCTTGCTTGCTCTGTGACCTGGGCAGTCCACTTAATTCTTCCGGCTGTCACCTCTATATATGGAGAAAAGGCAATAAAAGTGTCTCAGGGGATTATTGTGGAGATTAGGTGAGATAAGCACCATGAATCCTCTAGCATAGGGTGAAATGGCAGGGATCAAATGCTTAATAATGTGGCTACTATAGCTGTAAGACTTATCTCACCTTGACATGAGAGTTCAGGAGTCTTGGACCCTGAAGGTTCACAGAAAAGACTGTTAAAAGAATTAGCTAGATATAAGGCAGGTAGAGACTTTAGACTAGGGTATGGGATTGTGACTGCCAAGTGACATCATTTGGAATGAAAAAAAAAAAGGTATGACTCAATCATTCATTAGGAAGAGAAACTAAAGGTATGGTGACTTAAATTCCAACTGCTCAGATAATTCTGGTTGGGAGTTCAGAAGGAAAACTTTGAACTATAGAAAAACCATAAAGAATTTCACCGGGTGGTGGCACACGCCTTTAATCTCAGCAGAGGCAGAGGCAGGCAGACCTTTGCGAGTTTGAGGCCAGCCCTGTCTACATAGTGAGTTCCAGGCCAGCTGAGGTTACAGGTAGACCCTGTCTCAAAAAGAAGAAAGAAAGAAAAAAAAAGAAAGAAAAATCACAAGGAATTTCATTTAGGGCTTGTGTAGGTGGAGCTGATGATCTGTGTGCACACAGAACTGTCCAGAGACAAAATCAAGACTCATCACCATAACTAGATATGTGTACTGTTAATATTTCTTTAGAGTGTAATGTTTTATTTACAGCACTTTAAAGTATATGTAGATATATTCTCATGTCATGGAGAGAGAGTGAGACTGGATGAGATTTTCATAGGCAAACCGGAAAAAGCAAGGTTATCCAGGGACACTTGGAAACAGGACAGGGCTGAAGGAATTAGCGATTAACAAGGTCCTGAAAATGAGTGCGGAGCCAGAATTTGGAAGACAGAAAAAAGTGCAAAAATCAAGCCAGAGATTTTTGGAAACAGTATTCTTTGCAGCTAGTTGTTATTGTTTGCTCTTTCCGGGAGGCTCTGAGCCTGGTATTGATTTTCTTATTTCTGTGACAACTATAGAGACAACTTTTATAGTAGGCTAAGAAATTCATATATCAGGACAAAAATCCCTAGGTGAAAAAGGGTTGCAGGTTTAGGCTGTGCGTTATCTGGCTTCAGCCTCCACTGTCTAGATGAGCCAGAAATGTGCTGTATTCTTCCCATTCCCTGTAACTTTGGTACTAAATTTCTCCTTGTTTAAAAGTTTAAGTTTTTCAGATCAATTTTCTTTTTGATGTGAAGTTGATTTCTTTGCAGACCCTAGTTCTACCCGTGTTTCACTAAATTTTCCCCTCCCCCTTCATGGGAGACCCATGCCCAAGTCCTCTGAGGCCCCAGAGCTGACAAACCGACATAAGACATTCTATTTTGATTCTGCATAGTTTAGATGACATTTGAGAGGGGGTGACTTACAAAGACATGGATTCTTATAGGCTGTTCCTTTTCCATGTTTGAAATGCACGCACCATCGGCCTCCCGCCTGCAGTCTTACTTGCTCCGTTTGCCTGTGCTCAATATGGCAGCGGCTCCACTTCTTTTTCCCAGTGTGCTCCATGTCATCCACACTCACCCTAGATCAACTCCAGCTTTTTGGAGGAACGACCAGGTTACACCATAGTGTCCTCATTATCACTGTCATTTTTCCTTGCTTTTTTAACAATAGAAGTGGTCAAATTGGAAGACAAGCAATAAAAACATAAAAACTTTATAATCAAAATAACTGTAAATCTGTAATTAAATAACAGGTAACCAACCAATTTAATAGATTTCATGTTACACAAGAAATGGGTTGTTTTGATATAGAATACCTAATTTTTCCGGAATGGAGGTTACTTTTCATTTGACATATTTCTTTACTTCCTTTCAGCATTATCTATCTAAAATGTGGAATAAACTGTTCTGTTATTCAGTATATGCTTTATACTGCAATTTTTCAAAACTTTAAGCACATTATGTACCAATTCCCAGAGGCTCTTGAAGAACTACTTTACATTCATGGGGCAAAATGAATTGAAATCAGCCTTTTGCCTCTTCTGTAGATTTTGCTCTTCAGTCAGTAGTTGAGGAAGTCTGCATGAATTAGTGGAAGAAAAACCTAGATCAAGGATGACAGAAGCTACATGCAGGACGTTTTCTGTGGTTGTTATTTGGAATCCCTCTTTTAGTTGACATTTAAGCACCCTTGGGCTATATGGGGGTTTCTTAATTCCAGGTGCTGCTGGCAGGGGCCCTGTGGCACCAGAGGCTGCTTACCCTCTATCACCAGCTCTAGCCAGTGCCTTTTAGAGGGGACACAGAAAACTGCAGGTTGATATCCATTTCCATTAAGCACACTTCCAGTTATAACTCCCAACTAAAACAGCTGAAAAAGTAAGGGAATGGTATTTCATATCAAGAGAAATTCTGAAGTGGCTTCCTTCTGAGATGGATTTTGTGTCTGAGTTCTCTGTATACCACTGGCTGTCCTGTCATGGTTTTAAACAGCTGCACTGGGCATTGCCTCACACAGCCTCCCAGAAGGGAGAGTCCAGCCCACTCTTTCATAACAAAAGCTGTATATGACTGAACCAATCACCAACAAAGGAAATGAACTTACAATGGCCAGTTTTAGACTACCCAGTTTTCACAACCCCTGAACCTGAACAACAACAGCAATTTTTTTAAGCTAAATAGGAGCAGCTGAGACGAAATGGTTCTTACTCAGGGTAGCAATAGGGCTTGCTAGAGTATAATTATTATTGTCACCCTAACTCATTGTTAACTCCTGGTTCTTATTCTTGCCCTGGGCATAGGATCTGAGGCTGACCAGTTCCTATAAAATGGCGTTTGTGCTGATTCAAATAGGTAAATGTGGTTTGAGTTCTGCTAGGGTTCTGTTCTGCCTTTTTAAACCCTGATTCTCAGACAGATTAATTCAATAGTTGGCTTTGCAGCTCACCAGTGCCTCCATGTGGTGAGTTCCACTAGCCTTGTGGGTGGAACCTAAGACCTCAGGCTTTGTAGTCCTGTGCATCTTGGACTCTGAGCTTACCAGCACTGCAGTGGAAGGTGCCCTGGCCCCTGGCAGCCTTTGAGGGGATCCTGGTATTCAGGAAGTGCTCTACTTCTTTCCTATAGAGTCAATCCAATCATCCTGGGTAGTCTCTCCTTGGATTCTCCCAGAGCAGGACTGTTGAAAGGTTGATTCATGTCCTGCCTCTTGATGGTGTTTGCTGGTTGCTGTGCTGTGCTGGTTTTAAACTGCTGCACTGGGCATTGCCTCACACCTCATGTGCTCAGTGGCTGCCTTGTCCACTATTCAACCAGCTCTGCTCTTGTCCCCACCTCTGTTCCTGAGTGTGACCTTGGGAATCAGCTCAGCAGCAGGCTTTAGGGATCAGGCTGCATATGTGTGAATAGTAAATAGATCACCAGCAAAGCTTCTGAGTTGTGTAGATATTTAGACATTCACCTGAGATCAACAGAAGTTAAAAACAACTTATCCAATTATGATCAGAGGGTATGGGATGCTATTTTAATTTGCCTTCCTCTGTATTTGTTTCCATTGCATGAGACCTTTTTTAAAGTGTGTATGTGTGTGTGTGTGTCTGTGTGTCTGTGTGTCTGTGTGTGTGTGTATGTGCACACAGGTGCACATGTGTATGCAGGCTTGTGTGCGTGTGTCTAGGCTGGAGGTCATCCTCAGGAATGCCATCCACTTCCTTTAGAAGAGGACCTCTCATTGGCCTGGAGCTCTCCAATTAGGCTAGACTAAATGGCCAATGTGACACAGGAATCCTCCTGTCTGCCTCCCCATTGGTGGAATTACATGTGAGCCAGCATTTTTACATGAGTTCTGGGGTTTGAACTCAGGTCTTTGTTTGCCAGGCAAGTGCTTTAATGACTCAGCTGTCTCTCCAGCCCTTTGTGGTAATGGTGGTTCTCCTTCCTCCTCCTCCCCTCCCCCTCCCCCCCTCCTCCTCCTCCTCTTCTTTTGTTTACAATATCCTCTCTCCCTGAATTTCATGATAGATGGAATCTGTTATGTGCTAATTCAGATAGAATCACAGTGACCCCACTAAGGTGCACTGACCTCAGTTTTTTAGTAATTTACACCAAGCTTGAGAGATCTAGATGCTTAAGGAAGCATTGCCTCACGAAAGGTCTAGGAGCTGTAGATATAAATTGTGAGTTTTGAGTTACTTTGGTAAAGGGGAGAGTTCTGGGCACCTTAGAACTGTAAGTCTCAGAATCCATTTCACTAGCCCAGCCAAGGCCTTCACTTCTTGTCAGTGGGAAAGAGTTTGTTTTCTTGGTTGATTTACATAATATACTATTAATTTTATGTCCTTGTTAGACATTTTTGAAGGGAATATAATTCATCTTAGAATTTATTCAATTTATATACATCTGAATTTGATAACAATTACTTTTTTCATCTAGATTTGGGAATCACTCATATCTATCATATACCAATTGAATTGCTCAAATATTGTGAACATACTGAGTTTTTTATAATAGTAGGTAACAGCACTTTGTACTTGTGATAGACACACTGTATATATGTGCACATATACATGTACACTTGTGCTACTAGTTTCTGAAGAAACAGACCTGCCAACTTAGTTTAAATTTTTATGCAGTTACTGGAGAGCTGACTGTGGTAATGCACTTTTGAAATCCCAGCACTCAGAAATCTGAGGCAAGAGTGTAATTGGAGACCAGCCTGGGCTACAGAGTAAGATCCTTCTCTCAAATTGAAAAAAAAAAAGATAATTCAGAAATAATTATCTTTAAAACTCTTCAGAGATTTTATTCAAATTAGTGCTCAGTCAATAACGTGCTTGCTAAGCAGGTGTAGGATCTGAGTTCCACCCTCAAAACCCACATTTAAAAAGCCAGGCCTGATGGTTTGAGCTGGGGAGTGGAGACAGGCAGATCCCTGGGGCTCACTGGCCACCCAGCCTAGCCTAATCGACAGGCTCCTAGCCAATGGAGAAATCTTCAGTTGGATGGTACCTGAGGAATGATACCCAAGTTTGAGTTTGTCCTCTGGCCTTCACATGCATTCACATGTGTGCTTACGTACCCAGATATACATGTGCACTTACACACACACACACACACACACACACACACACACATATGGAAAACAATTGGCAGTTATACAAAAAGAAAATAAATAGTTCTTGACTATAATAATTGAATTACTTTGATCTGTAGTTTTTATTCAACCTAAAAAATTAAAGCACAATAATTATAATTATACTTTTTAAGGTTTGGAATTTAATGATAATAATTTTTCCAGACCTTTTGGAAGCTATTTTATCGAAGTATAGTAATTATTAAGTAAACATCACCCTTGTGACTTAAGAACGAATTTCAGTTTCTATCAGATAATTTCTTCATGAAGAATTAAACATTAGGAAAAATGGCTGTAATAAAACCAAACTGTGATGTGACTTTCCATTTGGATGGCTTAATATTCTTTGTTGTTGCTGTTCTTCTGTGTTTCAGAAAGGTATACATGAGTGGAATTTTAGTGCTTCCTCTGTCAGGGGAGTGAGGTAAGTGTTTTTTAGAGCATTTTGTTTACTTAGAAGACATTCTTCTGCAATGTTCATAGCACGGATAAGACTTTATATCCTAATTCAAATTTTTTAAACATCTCAAGAATCTCCTTTTTATTGTTGTAAATACACAGTCTTCAGTTTCCCTATCTCTGTTGTGAAAATTTCGGTACCATGATGTTCCCTGCCACCTGAACCAACTCCATGCTTATCACCTGCTGAAAACATGCTCACCCTGGAGTAAATGTGAACTGTGGATCAGAATCAAGATGTGGCTGTAAGGGAGCCATGAAGAGGTTCTCTCTTGCTGGCTAAATTTTGTGTTCTTCTGTAGATTTTCTGTCCTTTAGGTTACCGGGACACTCTTAAATCTGTGGATCTAAAGCCTGCATGCCATCTACCAAGTTACACCTTACACCTAGTATAAATGATGCCATACGAATAGGGAATTTATTAAATTTTTTCCCTCTGGTCACTGTGAATGCAATTGTATTGTTGAGGTCACAATAACAAAGTTCAGTTCAATTCTGGCATTGCTGTCATAATGCCAGTGACTCAGAAAAATGCTGTTTGTTGAGAATTAGAACTGAGAGTATCTTGTAGAATCAAGTGTCACTGGTTAAGAATTTAAAACTTTGTTCTCTGGAAGCTCACACTACATCAAATCTTTTACATTCTAAACCAAATTGTGTTTACTACTGTTTATCCCCCACATAATAGAAATAGGAGACAACAGATTTCTGCAGGCCAGTTATGCAATATCCTGTTGCTTTTGTAATAATAGTAATTGGTTTTGTTCAAGCATGAACTGGTAGAGCAATGACTCACTGATAATTTTAGTTTGCCTGGTAGAACTACCTGTTACCTCACGAATGATCTGAATAGAAACAAGCAAGATTATGGGGCTGACTCATGTCTTTCAAATCAATACCTCCTCAAATACAGCTTTACTCTCTTAATATTTAATTCTGAAAACCACTCATTATCAAGGCACTCATTATTGCTGCATTTTTAATTTAATTTAATTAATTTATTTATTTTTATGTGTATGCGTGTATTGCCTGCATGTAGGTAAGTGCACTTGTGTCGTACAATGCCTGCGGAGGTCAGAAGAGGCTGTTGGATCCCCTGGGACTGGAGTTACAGACCGTTGTCAGCTGCCATGTGGGTGCTGGGATTCGAACCTGGGTCTTCTGCAAAAACAACCAGTGTTCTTAACCACTGAGCCATCTCTCCAGCCCCTATTGCTGCATTTTTTCAAAAATCCATTTAGTACAGTAAATGTGCACTTCACCTTATCAGATCCATTTTGCAGTGAATTGGCTTTTATTAATTGGGCCTGGCAGCCCTACGTAACAGTTCTTGTGACTCATGACATGTATACAGAATACCTCCATCTGGCTGGCTATTGCTAATTTATATGTTAGGAAAACTTGAGTTCTAATCTGTGACTTCGAAGAGAGCTAAATTTTTCTGGCTTCCTTCTCTATGAAGAAAACAAACCAGAGAACCATCCAACTAGGTCAGCAGTTTCCTTGCATCACCTCTGAATTGGCCAGCTCAAGTCAATGGCATTTACTGAGCACTAGCTATATGCCAGATGTTGAGTCCTATTCTGCTAAGGATATAAAAATGACAAAGAAGTGAACTCCTCTGGAAGAGGGAGCAAATAAGCATCTAACAACCAATGGCAATACAGTGTGAGATGAGCAGTGGCATGCTGGGAGCACAATCAGAGAACAGATGTGCAAGAAGGGATAGAAGTGGGGTAGAGAGGTGGGGTAAGGTCTCCCCGCTGGGCCTTAAATGATGATGGGAATTTTTTTTTTAAGTTAAAAAATATCTGGGCATGGTGGTACAGGCCTGTAATCAGGTGTTTAAGGCAAGAAGGGTCAGCCTAGACTACACAGTGAGTTTGAGGCCATCCTACCTAAGGCATATAGGAAGTCCCTGTCTCAAAAGCAAAATAAAAAATAGGGACTGGAGAGGTGGCTCAGCAGTTAAGAGCACTGGCTGCTCTCGCAGAGGACTCAGGTTTGATTCCCAGCACCCACATGGCAGCTAACAGCTGTCCGTAACTCCGTTCCAAGGGATCCAGCACCATCTTCTGACCTCTGTGGGCATGGCACAGCATGGGTGCACTTGCATACATGCAGGTGATACGCACATACACATAAAATAAAATAATAAAATATTATTTCAAAATAAAGAAGTAACAGGTAATAAGGCAATAAAATAGAGGTTGCCAAATTGTGTTCATGACCAAATGTAGCCCTTTGCTTGTTTTATAAAATTTTGCTGGAGCAGCCAGCCACATTCTCATTTGTATCTAAGGCTGCACCAACACTCTAACAGCAGAAAGGAGTGTTGGGCCTAAAAAACCTAAAATATTACCATCGGATCCATTACAGAAAACATTAGCCAACTGCTGGTATAAACCAGCATGGTCTAACTTACCAACTCAAAATTGTTGCTCTAAAGTAAAACAGTAGCTCGGTCTAAACCAAGTACTGGTCCAAATTGCTTCATTCCTTTAAAATCTCAACAGTCAGTGCAATGCTTCTATGGATCCCACAAATTATCTTCCTGTTCTAGAAATACTTGCCATAGGCCCAGAATCACCTAGGACTGGTATGTGTGTTTTTCCTCCCAGCACAGAACTCCCTTCTGTGCCAAATCCAAGGGGCGTATGGCTTATATGTTTACAAAACCCCAGAGCAGCCCTATTTCAAAGAGATGAGTAGGAATAATACGTAATTTTAGTATTATGAAATGGAGAATATTAGGCTTTAAAGTGTTTATCTTTTTTGTTATAAACAATAGTGTTGCCACATCAGGGTTGGATATAAAAAGTATTTTTCATTACAGATCTGTGGAAGTATTGATATTTCTCTGAATAATGTGACTTTTTTTTTGTTTCAGCATTTCTAAATTTGAAGAACGATGCTGTTTTCTCTATGTGCTTCACAATTCTGATGATTTCCAAATCTATTTCTGTACAGAACTTCACTGTAGAAAGTACGTATTTGTCATTAAGTGTGAAAAGAGCTGTTTGAACTGGATTTTTATTTTCAATTAATATAAAACATGTAGCGTACGTAAAGGATTAGTAGCTAGGCAGTTATACAAGTATTTTAGTTAGGATATTGTTTTTTTTGTTTTTTTCTTTTTTGTCTTTTTGAGACAGGGTCTCCTTATAGCCCCAGCTGTCCTGGAACTCACTATGTAGACCAGGCTGGCATCAAACTCACAAAGATCTGCCTATAATTATGTGGTATAGTATGGAGTCTGAGAATTTGGGGGTTCTGTTTAATAAATCAATTTTTTCTTAGTCATAATTATTTTTTCCACAAATAAAATATCAGCTAAGACTTACTAGTTGTTAAATACCAGTCCTCTTTTGTTTGTTTGTTTTCAGTCTTTTTGAGAGAGGGTCTCCCCGTAGCCCCAACTGGGCTGGAACTATGTAAACCAGGCTGGCCTTGAACTCACAGAGATCTGCCTGCCTCTGCCTCCCAAGTGCTGGGATTAAAGGGATGTGCCACCAGGCCCGGCACCATGCCTCATTTTTAAAATGCTTACTTATATATAATCACCAAATTTTCCATTCTCAAATTTTTTGGATAATCTCACTGCTGTCTGCAACAGTAACTCTTACCTCTAGTGCCTACTGGAATCACCTGGTGAGCATTAAATAAGTACCTGGGCCCCACTCCGGGCTAATTACAATTGGGTTTTCTGGTGGGGACATAGCCTGAGATCTGATTTACACCAATAAAAGAGATAATCCAAAAATCTATGTACTGCATTGTATGTTTGTATATGTTTCTCCCAGCTAATTAAACATTTCACATTCCATTAGAACATAGTGACTGACAATGAGGAAGACAAGCAGTGAATGACCATTTAGAAACTAGAGTGTGGGTGAAAGCCAGTTTGGACTTAAAATTAGAAGAAGTAAATGATCATTTAGAAGCCAAAGTATAGGTGAAAGCCAGTCTGGATTTAAAATTTATTGAGGATTGTTCTTATTCAAATAATCCCCATTTGACTGCACTGTTAATGACTGACATGCTAATCAGTAGACAGTCGTTTGTTTTTACCTCGGTGTTCACCCCAGACATTGTATCAATTTTAATCTTCAATAAAATCCTATTACATAAGTAGGATTAGTATCCTCACTGAAAGGAGAAAAAGAAATAGAATTTTTAGAGTTAACTATCTTAAAAGTCATATAACTAATAAGGATAAAATTGGGGACCTGAACCAGGCACACTTAAATCCAGAATCTATGCTCCTAAAATATGTACTGGACTGCCACCCTGTATATTCTGCCTTGAGATGGTCATATGGAAAAATTTTGCATTAGTGCTGATGTGTCTCTTTGCCTCAGGTCTTAAAGCTTACCTTTAAAGCCACCTTAAAATTATTTTACTTTCTCCTCTTGATTGTTAATTTTGTCTCTAACTCATTATGATATTTAATCTTAGAGTCTGTCTACTCATATTCCAATCAATCTTGGGAAATTTTTGTTTTCATGTCATTGACTTCTGAGAATGTGTAGTGGGAATGGGTAAATAAGGAAGTAAGCACCACAAGTGAACTCTGAAAATAGGCTACAAAGTCCAAAATAAACTTTGTTCACTGCCAGCTTCCCAATCAGCAGAACAGTTCTTGACCCTAGTAGATAGATACTCAATGAGTATTTGTTGAATGGATGGATAGGTGAATGGATGAATAGATGGATAGAAGAGTAGACGAATGGGTTGATGGATAAATAAATGGAGGAATGAATAGAAATGACATACACAAATAGGGTTTCAGAGTTGTGCCAGGTAAGCTTGTCACACCATAGCCCACTCTGCCCATGAGGTTAGCCTTGCATAGCATGCCCTGCCCATTAGATCAAGAGTCCTTTTTGTAGTACTTCCCTTCCTCTATGTGTGTGAATCATTCATCTTCTCTCTGAATGGACTTGACTCAGGGGCAAAGGACAAGTTTATTTTTCAGTTATGCTGCTTTGCTCTGAAATGGTCTTCAGAAATAAAACTTCACAAGGGCTCTTAAAATTGTCATCAAAAGAGAGGCGGCTCTGTCACCAATGTATGGATAAGCCAGTCTTCCCTAGTTCACATCAGATTTCAGACCACATTTATGGGATCTGCATTTATAATATTGAAGTGCTTACGCAGAAGATTTAGTGATTGAGATCAAATTTAGAGATACAAGATATTCTGCAATATCCAAAATGTTGCTTTAAAATAATGATAGCAGCATGAAAGCAACACTAATATTTAAGAGTGCACTGTGCTGTGTGTGCACTTTACAAGTATTACTCCAAATGATCTATCCAACAGCCTGTGAAACAGGTACCTGTATATCCCCCTGCTATCCCTCTAAGGGCTCTGAGAGGTGGAGTGGTTTGCCTAAAGTCACATAAATACTAATAATCTCGGTCTGAAAGCCAAGTCCACAATTTTAATATTTCTATGACCCTGTTTAGTATCAATGTTCTAATCCCATGTTACAATTGCTATTATTTGAAGTCATGAATTTCTAGAAAATCCTACCAACCTGTTTTCTTTTTGAGAAAAAAAATTGTTTACACTGATCCTGAAACTTTATTGCCTAAAGACTTCCAGGTTTTGCTCTGAAGTCTATTTGGGATGTATTTACTTACAATGATTGGACTCAAAATGTTTCAACTTGAGAGGCTGTGAGCTTGATCCAAATTACAGGAGACCAGCTTGGGCTAGACCACGCGGGGCCCCATACTCTCGCGATACTGAGCAGTGAACCCCAGTTCCTGTTGGCTGCACAGGCCGGGTGAGCAACCCAGACGCTGCACTGCGCTGGGCCTGTCAGAGGGTTTTAGGTCCATGTAACTGAATTCACTAGCTAGGTGAGATAGTCAACGCTTTGTTATACAGGGCTGTGTTCCATGACTATTGGCAAATGTTCTGAGCACACTAAAGGCAGGCAAGGCCGAGGGAGGACGTTAGGCGGGGTTTGCTGTCCAAATACATTTTCCATTTATGGTATTTTCAAATTATGATGGGTTTTTGGAGGTGACATATGTGTATTAATATTATATGTGTTATGAACGCCCACTTTCGTCGTAGGTTTTTTGAAATGGTGAACACCATCACTGAAGAGAAGGGGAGGAGCACAGAGGAAGGAGACTGTGAAGGCGACTCCCTGGAGGTAATGACCACGTTAAGCATCATTTTACAAATGAGCTATTGAAAGCCTACTGACAGAGGGAATTGTGGGATGGGGTTCATCACTGAGTGATGTTGTGTGGCATGGAGGCACTCAGAGTCGAAATTTTCCCTTAATGTTAAAACCAATTTCTGGAATTTTTGGTTGAAAAATAGTAAGAGGCTAGAGAGGAGCTCAGCAGTTAAGAACGCGCTCTGCCCTCTGCCCTTTCAGAGGACCCATATTCGGTTCCCAGCACTGCCTACAACTGCCTGTAAGGGCAGCTCTAGAGGATACATCCCCACCTCTGGCCTTTTTCAACACGCACGCACATGTGGCATTCACTAAAACACACACACACACACACACACACACAGACACACACACATAAATAAATAAAAATAATAAAAATAAATCAAAAGAATAGCTTAAAAGCAAACACTGGTCAGTTCCTCCAGAGGAACTGAGCTGTCATACTTATCTGATAGTGAATAACTGTGCCTCATCTGTGAAGGCCTTACTGGAGCTCAGTGGGTGGGCCACTGTGTCCCTGCAATTTTTTCTAGTCTCCTCTTAGGTTTGTGTAATTCAGGCACATAAAACTCAGTGAAGATTTCAGATGACAGGATTTCCTGCAGCCCCTAGTATGAGACTGTCCTTCAACTCTGTCTGTAGCCAACCCAAGCTACTCTTGAATTGAGATCCTCCTGCCCCCACCACCCAAGTTCTGAGGTTACAGTTGTGCAGTACCACACCCAGCTAGAAAATACATGTTTAATGTTAAAGTGAAATTGAAGGAAAAAAAAAACAAACAAACTATAAACCTCCTCCTTGATAGATAGATTTACTTTTTAGATAGTTTTTTATAATTTAATCTCCTTCACTGAACAATGTAGAAAAATATTAGATCAGTAGGGTAACAGTTGAGGGAAAATTTAAGTATAACTAATTGCTGATGCTATCTATAATTAGAGTCTATAATTATCTAGACATTAAATAGCTTTTATATTTCTAGGTAAGCCTGTCCCTCTTAAAGCTATAAAAAGATGATAGGCCTAAAGAATTGCCAGTTTATTGGCTTACTGTTCATAGAAGTAACAGTTAAGAATATTTATTTGTACATGTTTGTATTTTCTGACCAAGGGATTTGTTGGAACTAGGTCTCTTAACTACTATTTCAATCCTGTTTTGACTATTCATTGTCCATGTTTTTATTTGTGTTAGATTTATTTTCACTTGATACAAAGCAACTACTGGGGTAAAAATACTAAGAATGAAAACAGTTCAGTTGATAAAATAAAATTATGATGAGATTAGATAGGAAAATCCATAAAATCTTCTGAAATGCCACGCTTCTGGCATTTTTCTTTTTTAAATCATCAGCGTCTACCTTTTATTCCATTTCTTCCTTTGAATGAACGAAATGCATGTCACCAAAAGTACGTGTATATATAATAGCCAGGGTGTGGTAACCATTATCAGACAAGGTTGACTATGTGATTGACTGAATCATTTGGGACTAGGAACTACTTTAACCACATGCACTGCACAGAACAAGTTTAATAGCCTGAGAGTTTAGGATTATTTTGTCTAGCAGATTTTTATAAGCCTCGGTCTCTTGTACAAAGGGAGGTGGATCACTTTACAAAGAGTTGTAGCATATGGATTAGACTTTGTGAGAGAACCTTCCTAAATGGGCAGTTCTATAGCCAGCACTGTAACCTATTAAATAAGAATAGAAATGCTAAGGCTTTTTCCTAGGAACATCCACAGGATTCTGTTAAATCAGCTGACCTCACAAAAACCAGTCTATACAACATTGCTGTGACTCATTAAAGTGCCCCCAACTCGCCCTTCTCCATTAATCATAGGAATACCAATCTTTAATGTTAGAAAACATTCTCATATTTCTACTTTTTGCATCACATCAGAAGAATCAACTCTGATACAGAATGATTTCTATAGTATTCTCAATGGGCTTTACAGCCTACTCCAAGAATTCAAGCATCTAGTTTTAAGATTCTGGGCTCCCTTTGCCACTGTGGCTCAGCTATTGATATTACTCATGTTTTTGTCAAGGCTGCTCCATTAGCATAGCATTCATGAATGGTTACAGTAATGTTCTGGGCTGAAGGATGGTGAGACCCACTTTGGTTCTTCCTTTCATGTCCTTTTATAGCCATAGCTACATACTATTCAGCTTTAACTTACATTTTGTATAATATATGATTTTCCAAAGTATATTTGATTATATTTTGTAGATATTTTCAGTATTTTCTATTTAAATTGTTTTATCAACATGCTATTTGACTAAAAAGAATTCCATTATTTCATGATCACAAGCAGAAATCAAATTTCAGCCCATGAATGATAAACCAAAAATAATTCCTTTTCTTTGCAACTTCTGTGCTGTACAAGAAGAGATCATCTTTAAACAATGGCTGAGATTTGTGTATAATATTATTTTCTGTCTTTACTTCAACTGGAATTAAAGTTGTTTTAATACATGAGTCAGTTATTCATGAAGCCTTTGAGTATCTTGGTGCAAAACAAAATGACAACTGACCAAGAAATGCTACTTAATGTTTTCAATCTTCATTTATGGTGGTATCAACATTCAGCAAACACTAACTGTTAATATGGTCCTATAAGCTCCAAATTCATAACTAACCCTGAGTTTCCTGACATTTGAAAAACTTCTTTGAAATCCAAGTTAGGATATATTTTTCTTTCTGACTGTAATGTTTCTTTGAATTAGTACAATTGTGGGATGGGTGCAACCTCCTTTAGGTCATGACCTGACCTTTTCTCTCTAGTGAGTTAAATCTAGTCTCCTGAGATAACTGAACTGGGGACAGGAGCCCTGGGTTCTGGTTCTAACTCAGTAATCAGCTTTGTGACTTTGAACAAATTTCATACTCCCACCGGTCTAAGATGATTTCATTCTTCAAATTACAGTTGAACAAGAAGATCCTGTCCTTTCCCAGCTTTTATTTTTAAAATAATTTTCCAGATTGGTACAAACTGTACAAGGTTATCTCAAAGATAGCACAATGCCATTTCTCAGGGAACTTTTCTGTCTTTATACAGAGACAGTTCCTTTTGATTCAAGGCTGTATTTTGTCATGGAAGGATTATGTACCCATATTCTAAGTGATTTAATGTGTTAATAAATTTATACTGAAGTCATCAAGCAATTGGGTACACTTGCCATTAAAGTTTTATTACTTATTACCTGTGGTCCCTGTTGTTCTTCCTGCCTTTCACATATTCCGGAAGAGTGAAGGCATCCACCCCACAATCCAGGACAGACACCTGAGAGAAGCCTCTACCCCCACTGCTTATTTTTTTCTCCTTGTCATCATCAGAGACCTCTGGCTCAGATTTGGAGCTCTCTAAGGAAACTTTTGTTGCTATTTGTAAAAGGAGTGAGTGTATTAGTTACTTTTATTGTTGTGCTCAAATGCCTAACAAGAAGCAACTTAAGGAGGAAGGTTTTGTTTTGGTGTACAATGCTAGAGAATGCAGTCCACTGTGGCAGCAAGTGCATACATTTCATCCAGTTAGGAAGCAGAGAGTAGACAGGAAGTGGCTCCAGGCTATCCAAGGCTTGTCCCAGTGACCCATCCTTCAAGCAAAGCCCCTAAAGTTTCCACAACCTTCCAAGTGAGTGCCATGAGCTAGGATCTAAGTGTTCAAATATAAGAGCCTGTGGGGTCATTCATGTTCAAACCACAGGAAAGAGGTTTTGTAACATATGATGTCCTTAACCTTCTCACTCTGACCTCTCATTATTCTCTACCCTGTGGTCTAGCAATGCTGTGTCCTTTCCATGCCCCAGCCACGGGCCATGCTTCCCTATAACTGGACTTGACAAATGTTGAGGCTGTCACACTTGGTAACCATATCCTCTCCTCCACCCTCTCCTCTGCCCTAGCTTTTCCCCCTGTATTGTCATTCAGTAGCCTATACTGGGCTATTAGCAGCCAACACCAGGCTTCAGCTTTCTCTCCTGTCTTATCACATAGTTGAGTGTAGTACTCAGGGTCTAAGCATGGGAAGTCAATCAGCCTGCTTTGAAGAATTTGAAGTTGGTGAGTGACCAAAACAAATTGTTCACTATCGCCTTCCCAAAGAGAGATAAGTCAGAAGGGCAGAGTAGGCACTGGAAACTACCTGGAGGGTTGTTTAAGAAATGTGAAGTCTGGGTTCTAAGGCAATGGCTCAGTGTAGTATGTAAGAGTAACTTGCTGTGCAAGCATGAGGACCTGAGTTCAAATTCCCAACATTCATGCAAAAAAAAAAAAAAAAAAGTCAGGCATGGTCATGTGAGCATCTGCAATCCCAGCAATCCCAGCATGGGGTCGGGGTTAGGGAGAAAGTGGAAGAAAAAGGATCACTGGGGCTTGCCGCCCACTAGCCTGACTCTCCAGTGAGAGACCATGTCTCAAAGGAATAAGAGGGAGAGTGATAGAGATGGACAATTGATGTCTTCTTCTAGCCAATATGTGTGCATATACCCCCCTCTGTATCTCTTTCTCTCTGTCTCTCTCTCTGTCTCTCTCTCTCTCTCTCTCTCTCTCTCACACACACACACACACACACACACACGTATGTGAAGTTGGGACTGGAGAGATGGCTCAGAGATGAAGAGCACTGACTACTGTTTCAGAAGATCCAGGTTCCATTCCCAGCACCCACTGCTTTCCCAGCAGCTAACAACTATCCATAATGCCAGTTCCAGGGGAATCTGACACCTGACACCCTCTCACCCTCTTCTGACCTCTGTGGGCATTGCATGACAAGTGCATGTGGGTGCACTTAAAACATGCAGGTAATACACTCATACGCACAAAATAAAAACAATAAAATAGTAAAAGGAAAGAAATGTGAAGTCAATGAAAGAACAAATATAATATCTTAATGAAGCCCGATGCCTAGCATAAAAAATTGACATATTCTTTCATTTCCATGGAAAAGAAATAGGTGCAAATAACTGGGGT